GTATGATTCAGTGGGAACTTCTAGAGCTTGTAGACCTCTTACATGTGTCTCAACTTTGTCGTACATTTGTCGTAGTTTCTTTACGTCATTCGAAACGTTCAATGATGTTATTTTTAACAAACTGTCCATATGACCGCTAATTATTACTTGTTTATTTCCAAAGCGCTCTTGTAATAATTTCACCGCTGTATCGTAGTTTTCTGCCGAAAGTTGTAGACCTGCGATTGTCAACGCTGCTGGACCTTTCAAGAGACTCTTGAGATAATTAAATTTGTCCACTTTAGACAGTTCATCGTTCTTATTAACAGCGCTTTCAAAACAATTCCAAAACGACAGCCATTGAGTTGGTTCTCCGTAAAATGTATTTAATACAAGTTTCGGTAGTTTTGCGTGTTTATTCTTCGATCCATTGCTTTGCGATAAACTCTCTGCTTCTCCGATTAAATTGTCTCCGTTGTTTTCTAGTTGTTGGTGTAATTTGCTCTTCGACAAAACGCTGTCGATCTCTACAATAGCTCCATAAATATTCTCGGTAAACTCTCCAGACTCTTCTATTTCGCTCGTAATTTCGCTGTCTTCAATAACTTCAAGTATTTCTTCGTCTAAAGTTTTCAGTTTCTTTAATCTCTCTTCTAAGGAAATCTTGAGTTGTCTCAATATGCTTTCATTCGATGAGTCATAATTCTGTATTACGCTTTTCACATTTCCTAATATTTTCGAAGCGTAAGCTCGGTGACCTTGGCGTATTTTCTTCTTTTTCGCAACGGTAGACATCTCTCAATCGTTTAATCCGACACTCGAAGGACCATGTATAATATTTTCGACTAATCTGCTCTGTTAAATATCAAATTTATTATATTTACGCTATTGTTTACACCAAATCCCCATATTCTCGTCGCTCTTGTTTTTATATTAAATGTCAATCACGCTATAATTGTCTTAGTGTCATTACTATAAATATCAATGTCAAATAGTTAATTTCCGGTTATATTAAAGTTTATAGTTTATCTACAGTCACTAATTTTAAGTACTATATTTCCTCTTTGTACTCGTGTTACGATGTTGAGGATCCTCGTAGTTATAAAACTATATGTCCTAAGTGTAATTCTGTTCGTAGCCTCACAGCGTCATTATTGTGCTGTATGCAGGAACTGTTAGTACTGTTCTTTGTTGTTTAATATATGTATTGTTGTAATTTATTTATTCGGGCCCGCAGTAATTGGCAAACGCTGTTGCGGATTCCCTGCCACTGTAATATGTACAAGGCGAATTAAATAAATAAATAAATAAATAAATAAATAATTCGTACATCTACATATAAAAGAAAAAAATGGTAAGATGATGAAATACATTCTGTAAGAAATATTCCAACAATTCAGCTCGATATATAACTAGAAAATCGTACGTGCTCAATTACACAGCCTCCTCCGCAGGCATCTCTATATAGGGTTAGGTTTTTCGAACCCTAACCATATAGATACCTGCTGAGGAGACTAAGATTCAGAAATACCACCAGGCCTATACAAAATATATTTCTCTTCCTGGCAGGAAAAGCCAAAAATAAAAATTTCCCGTGCAAGTCAAACATGCATGAAACTTTCAGAGAAAAATGTAGATTTTAGAGAACGTATGGTGCCGCACGTTGTGATTAAGTTCAATCTCGCCACAAGACAATCTCGAGTTGCAAAATGCTTTTGGAATTTTTAAGCACAAATAAATTATATCGCATTCCAGTATATAAGATGACAAAAATTTCCTGGAAAGTGTGAGAAAATATCCTGCGAAGATATCTTATTAAAAAATTTCCTGGCAGCAGTCCTGCCGGACATTTTCCAGCACTGAATATCACACTGACCTTGTACAAATCTGCAAATTCATTTTGCAGTTTTTTAAAAAGGACTTCACAATCTTGTAACGAAAGACTTTTTTGGAAGCTCCAGTACTTTGCTGTCTGCACCTGCAATTAGAAGACTGTTTATTATGTATCTATTTCATTTATACAGTAGTAACAAATGGGCGCTATTTGGAGTTTGGACAGCTAGGCAACCGCAATTTTTTAGAAACCTTTGTGATAAGCTTAGAACTTTAAAAGAATCCTCCTCTCCTACTAACAGCTTGGCCCTTGGAACCTTTGGAGGGGGGCTGTCCCCATAAAGGTCGTAGCTTTCTCAGTGCTGATGGTGCATGCCTTGGTTGACGGACACACCCCTCTCCACGACGAGTGCCCACTAAGAAATCCTCTCCCTGATAAAGCTGGATCCACCCTTGGTTCTTCCTGCATTGAGCAAACAAACATCCCTACTTTTCAATAATAACATCAACCAATTGTTTCATATCATTCTCTTCCTGTTCAATTTCTTTACCGAGTCTTTCTTCTTCATATTTTAAATTCACGATCAAGTCTCGTTCATGACGGAGTCTAACAAAGGATAAGAATAATAAATAAAGAAATTAAATCTTTGTATTCACATTTGCTGCATGTTGACGAATTATTAAATTTAACATGCATGAACACCATGTATAATGTTTATTGAGCTTGTTTGAGCTGAACTATCATCTCGTCACGAGAGCCAATACAGTAGTGTAACTCGTACAGTATAACATGGTAGCAGCAAAACAGAAGCTGTTTAGACGTATTCCACATATGTAAAGGAACATCTGCAAACGTTTAAAATAACGAAAAAGATACTTTCGGCAACAAAACTTACTGTTTGTCAACTTGAACAATTTCTGATTCACTGAAATCCAACAAAAGATTCAACTTGTATTCCAGTTCGGGAAGTGAAAATGCACGGTCATCTTTTACTTGGGATGAAACTAAACAAAAAAATCAGTGCATGATGATTCTGGAAATTAGGGAAACGTTGCTGACTCGCAGATCAGGATTTACCGATACGCTCAGCACGTTAAAGGCTGTAGATCTAGCACAATTTGGACAAGCCAGAGTTATGGGAAGAACAACAATTGAGATTTACATTAAAAAATGTCTTCAAAATACAGTTTCAGGAACCCAACATTTAAAAAAAAACCTTGGAGCCTGCTACCGCCCTCGCCCCCGGCGTTTATCATTGGAAAAACATGCAGAGCTTAGTAAATATGCGAATAAAGATTCAATTATACGAATCATGTTGATATTCAGCAGGGGCCGGTTGTACGAAAGCCGGATAGCGCTATCCACTGCGGACAGTGATTTTTTCTAGTTTTCTTTGGATTGGACTGGTATAACCCAGATTAAAACTTTAGTACAGTATGTAAAATTAAAGTTTCCTCTTATTAATTGTGGGGTCCATATTCGTAATTTCATCACTTTTCAAGAATTTTTTCTACGGTTTAAAAAATCACTATCCTATATTGCTATATGAATAGTTCTATCTGGCCTTTGTACAACCAACCCTAGTATAGTATACCTGTTGATTCGTTCTCAGGATTAGCGTGTTGGGTAGCGAACGATCCATAACCTGTCAATATCTTAGCTTCACGTCCTGTCATGTCCACAACCTTTATTTACAAAAACCATATATTTTACGTATACTGATATATGAACATCGCGATTGCCCATGAAGGCAACGGAGGACCTGCACTCCAAACGTTTCTAAATCATAAAAGATTATTTTTAAATCTTTTTTAAACTAACAAGTATTAACGTCGATTGGTTGTGAAAAAAAAATTGAACTGGTTCTGTAATCTTTATGTTCAGTGAGCCAGTGAGGTGGTCAAGCATCAACGCCTTGAAGCATCAATGAACGTTATACCTTAATATTACTTGTCGACAAGGATAGTCCTGGTCTCTTAGATTTCCCTGATTCCTATAATAGGAGTTTGAAAATTCTGGTATAGATTTCATGATGTATTAAGATCTACTAATAAACTGCACTATTTACACGAAAAGAAATAATATAAAATTACACAAAAACAGTTATAATTAATAATTTCAAATTAATTTACTAAGTCCGTATAGTGATCAAAGGAGCATAAGCTTTCGAACTGATCACTATACAGTGTTCTATTGTACCATAAATATTTGCTAGAATAACCTTAACTATATATTCTGATGGTATACTGGTATCAATATTGTAATAGAAATAGAAAGAAGTCCGTTGAGATAACCTCGACAACAGTCGCCAACGGGAAAGAAAATACCAGTTTTGACACCTTAGATATGGATAATCTCTAATAATAACCTCTATTAGGCGGCACCTTCTGTTAAACGGCTATACGTGTCACAAAAATGTTCGCTATAATTTACACTATAATGGTAGAATATTTAGTATCCTCCATTAATCTGCCACCTCAATTAAGCGACTCTCTATTAGCGGCCATCACCCTCTTTTAAATGACTATACGTGTCAAGAACATGACCGCTATTATTTACTGTATATTACCCCCAAACCCCCCCCACCCCACCCCCATTAAAGTGCCACCTTATATGCAATTTAGTTTCGCTTTTTTTATCTTCATAAATATTCTTAGAATGTGATGCATCCATATCCATCCGCGCTTTGGTGTATTACCACATTTGCGGTTTTACGAAATTCCACTCCTCGGTCTCCCTCAACTTCAAATGAGACAAGGGCATGCAGGGCATGATCATGAGGAATGAATCCTTTTCCCCCAACCTAGCAGCATGGGGAAAACGGTAATAAAAAATGTGGTGAAAAGTTAGTCTTTTCCCCCTTTCTTATGTTAAGGTTGCATTTTGACAAATCACTAAATACTGAATTTTCTGTAAGAGTGATTAGAGGGTGGGGCGCAAATGGTAATCATATAACCCTGAAATAGACGATACTTGCAATATCACCATTTACTTTTAGTGGAAGATTAAGGCAAATTAGTAATTGCACTGTTACACGTTAGGATAATCTATTTGGAGCGGGTCGTGGGTAAGAGAAGCGGATTGTGGTATTGTACTTGAAAGCGTGATTTGGAATGAATAGAATGTAAAATATATAGTGATAGTTATATACCATAGTAAACAGTAGCGTATAGCATTCAGTATATAGTTAATTATAGCCTTGATTTTGTTTTTATTTTTGTAGTATAACGATAGATCGCGCATGATTCAATTTTAAATTTCCTACCTGAGAGGGCAATAAAATTACACTTATATGTATACCACATTTTATATATATTACATAAACTTGGACTAAGCCACTATATAGTTAACGGGACTCCTTCAGCCCTATTTATTTTGTGGATTAATGCCAACAAACTAGATCATAGTCAGGTCTAAAACGCCTAATGTTTGTCGCCAGCCATTAATGATTTTAAATTTTGATGCTTCTTTCACGTGTCAGGCATGCGCACAAACGCATGACACCATTAATAGACCATTCTTTGCTCATGGCGTTGCAAACTACTTGGCCATATTTACAAGGTTCGTTATGGAAACAGGATTAAAGCTGCCATTTGGAGCTTGATAAAAAACAACCCCTCGTTCAATAAAGATCGTGAGTTTTCCGTACGAATACAAAGCTTTGCCTTCATGACGTCGCCCTGTGATAGGTAGGAACGAGATGTCGTATTCATTCGCCTGAAAGAAATAAAGTATTGTTGCACGAGTATAGTTGAGCGACATGCATATTCGTATAGATACTGCTTTGCAAGCCTTTGCATGAAACTAGTCCCAAGCGTGCATTTACTCCAAAAACACTCTGGTTCAAATTTTCCTGGTTAGTATAGGTAATAGCATGGTCTCGAGTGCAATTTGGATATGGCATGCAAGAGTGAGTTTTTCAAAGACCTCAAAATAGCACGAGTCCGAAGGACGAGTAACATCACAAACATCATATTCACCTGAATGAGTACATAACACACAAAAAAATTCATGCTTACCATTTTTTCCAATAAATCTCTGAAATTCGTTGGTATATTTTGTTCTGCTGTATTTCTCGCTGGTTCTACCTAAAATACACGCATTGCATTAGACAAACCGTTTAATTTACAAATATTGCATGCATGCATGCAAGGTTTATACCTATATAGTTCTAGTTTTACACTCGAATATTTGTTTTACGTACTTGTGGTCTTGGTTTCCCAATAGATGAACTAGCTTCTGCTTCTCTTCTGAAAATAATACAAATGGAACTTGCCATAAAATGTTGATCACAAGTACTAGTTAAAACATGAGCACCCGATCTTTATCTGATATACAAACTCGAGCCGAAGGCGAGAGTTTGTATATCGGATAAAGATCGGATGCGAAAAATGACCCATCTTATTGGCGAAGTATATTTAAAAATAAACATTGTCTAACCTGAGAAAATAAAAGCTGAAGTTTATGTAAATCAGGACAAATCTTTATCCGATTTACAAACATTGATTAAACATTCATTTCTTTTGTATTTTCCTCGTGAATTATTAATGAGATTTTTAACTTTGTGTAGCAATTAAGAAGTAGTTATAATAAGTAAAATCACTAAAATTAATGGTGTTCTACACAGCATAAGATAGCTTACAAAACAAAACATTATATAGGAGTTAAGATGCACATGTAAGATTCTATTATTCGCGCACAAGATTTCTTAAAATCGTGACACGTCATGTCAGGAAGAAAGCCGATTTTGTGCTATACTATATTCATTTGTATACATTATCAATTATCGTATCGAGGTAGGACTAAATAATTTATCGAATTGAAGAGTTACCTTCTCTCCGTGTTTGTTAAGTATGCGACATTTTCTCGTGCACCAGGTTGTTGTACGCTTTCAGGGGCGAAAACGGCTTGATTCATGACGTCTAAACCACGGTTAAATTGAGCTAAAAATTTAGAATAGAGAGCAATTTAATATTGTTAAGGATGCTATATAGTGCATAGTCATTTAGGAGAGGGGGGGGGGGGGGGGGGGGCGCTTGACTCATTATGCTGAAACCACAATTATATTAAACCATAAATACAGAGACTAGTTTGTAAAGAAACGTAACCAGCATGAACCAGGATCTTTGTCGTATATCGAGTTCTGCAATTGGGTGAAGAGCATCCTACATGTGGACTCTCTCTGATTCTCCATGCGGTTCACACGACGTATGCATGGGATACACACGTCGAGGAAAGGGACAAGCCAAACCTTTGTCTTCTACATTTGAAGATTTTAACTGCAGTTATTTATCTCAATTAAAATGAAGTAGGCTAGCATGCAAAATACACAGTATTTTTAAAATAGTAATTATTATGTCGTTATATTACTTAATCAAAAAGAGAACACAGTTAAATATATGCATATACGCCTAAAAGTGTACATGAAGTTGCATGCAACCCAACATGCAAAACATGAATAAGGCCTGTTTCAAGCATCGAACTTAACAAATTATATACCATTAGATGCGGCACATGAAAAGGTTCTTTGCTACACTTGGCGAAAACCAACTTGCAAGCTCGCTGGGAGTGCTTGCATCTAACTAGCCTTTCTCACGGCCGCTTTTCCCGCCATTTTTGGGTACTGCCTTTTCCTCGTTTCAGAGTCTCCACACCACGAAACACAACTTTTTAGTATTGTAGTTGTTTGTATAATGGTAAATTAACAGTTACACAATTTTTAAAAGTCGCTTTTCACGTTGTTTGAATTGTTTAGAATGTTTCACGACGGCAGACAGTATATACCCAAAATGGCGGATTTTGGCCTTCGTGAGAAAGGCTAATTAAACTAAACTGCCTAGCATTTTGACTGGATGAATTAATAACAGCGAATAGTTAAAGGGTTCCTTATATAAACATTTAACACGAGTTTATGACAGGCATTGTTTCTGAAGTCTTCCTGACACACTCAGTTATCGGAGTCTGCTCGGGTCATGACTAATACATATGCCAATAGTGATTGCTTGAGGAACTACAAAACGACCGTTCTCGATCTCTGGACGTTTTCGAATTATTACATCCTCGCCTGAACTCTTCGTGTCAAAAGTGAACATCGTGCATGCAACGAAAGATGTGGCCCAGAATTTAATTTCATCACATAGTATGAACCACTTAACAGGAAGTCTACTTCTTTTCTTCAAGCCATGAACAAGTAAATGCAACTTCCCGTACAGGCATAATGCGAAAGTTTTGGTGAGGAACATGTTCATTTGCATCTCATAACCGCACCACCAAAATCTAGGAGATATAAGGCAATTGTCGGATGCGATATTTGGTTCGTTTTCCGTTTCTTCCGCGGTTGACCTTCCTTTTTGCCGTAAGGCTTCCATTTCATCCCTGGTTATCACCCATGTATACTGCTCGGTATTTTCGTGAGATTTCGGTCGAGTAGGTACAATGTTTTTCATTGAGCTTGGTAAGGCATGATATGTGATTCCATTCAGGTACAGCTCTGAGAATGATGGCATTTCTTTCGCAATGTGATGGTTTTGTACGACATGGTAAAGATAGTCAATTGTGAGTAATCTAAACTTAACCAGACTTAAAAGAGATTCCGTTTCGTTTGGAATAATGTTATAGTTGTAACCGGTACTTACAATCCAGTACATCAAGGCATGAAAAATTGTATTTTCAGATCGTGTTTCTAAATTTTCACAACTTAACAAAACACGCAGCAATGTTTCCGATAAACTAGTAAACTTGTCGGTTTCCCATTTTGTATCAAATGGATTGAATTCACTCGCTAAAAATCCTCTTACGGTTGCAGCCAGGTCAGAAGTGGATGGCATCTTTTGCTTGATTTCGATACAGTTAATGATCATTTCGCAGTCAGCAATGCTAAGATTGCATTTATGTAATACGTATTTGCACTTCCGGAATACATACGTTACATCGTACTTATCAGCCAGTTCAAGTATCTGTAACAATTCCTCCACGGATGAATTATCAAGGACATATGGACGATATATGGCTTCAAGCATTTTTAAATGACTTTGTTCTTCGGACTCATGTATCTTGATATGCACTTCTTTAGACGTTGCTTCTTTCATTCCCGAGTAAAACATTGCTCGAAAGTACTTGCTATGTACGGCTAGGAATGTCGCGTGCACGAATATCTTGTGCGCGCGTATAGTTACGGGTTCTGAATTCACAAAGTCATATTCCGCCATATTCTCGTTTGTGCAAAGCTTATCATTTCCAAATTCGGTAGTTGTTTCGACTTGGATAGGAACAGCCGTGCCTATATTTTCGTCTATGTCACTCTCGTACTCTGCTCTAGATTTCTTATTTTGGGACTGCTGTTGTTCGGCATCGTCTAAATGTCTTTTGCGTTCTGAGACCTTAACTTGTTCTGAAATGACTTCGATTTCTTTCAGGTTTAAACCTCCTTCAGCGCAAGGGGACGACAAAATTACTTCTCCTGCAATACTACATGTTTCTAGCTTGTCTCCCAGTATAGGCGTCGTAGTTGAGACAGCATTATCGGTTTGTCTTTGCTCGTTCACCACATCGAAGATCAAAACGCGGTCATGCAAGTCTTCGTTGTTAAACTCAGGGTCGTAAGCTAAGAAAAACTCGTTTAGATCTGATTCTTTCAAGCCACAAGCATGGTGAATAGATTCAGTAGAAGTCGACATGGCCTCGACGTTGTTGTCCACGGATAAACCTGACATTCGATATACCGCTTAGTCGTTATCGTTGTTTGACACTCGCGCTCTTCAATTAACTTGCGACGAAAGCAAAAGCGAAAAAAAAACACCATAAAGGCGCTTACATATACATATACAGGGTGTATAAAAAAAAACGCAACCTCGGAATTTCCTAAGAAATCCGTTTGCAATTCGTAAGCATAAAAGATTTTAGGCCCCTGGGAATTGAAATCGAATTGCTAATAGATCATATTACTGTCGTTGTGCATTAAATAAATGCATAAATTTTGCTTTATGCACTCGCGTGTGCAGTAATTTTGACAGTTATGCTATTTTAAATTCCCAGGCGCCTAAAATCTTTTGTCTTTAAAACAATGTCGATGTCTTGGGAAATTCCGAGGTTGCGCTTTTTTTGATACACCCTGTATATATATATATATATATATATATATATATATATATATATATATATATATATATACGAGTAGGTTTATGAATACGAAACGCAAAGAGTGCTCAATATCATGAAGATAGAGCAAATGTAGAATTTCGCTTACCTCGAAATTCCGCAACAGTCTGTTTCATCAGTAAAGAATCATCAGGCGGTATCGCCTGATGATTCTTTACTGATGAAACAGACTGTTGCGGAATTTTGAGGTAAGCGAAATTATATATATACAGGGTGTCTAAAAAAAAACCAAAATCGTATTGTTCGAATTTCAATGCCGTAATACAAAGGATTTTGACAGGGTGATTAATTTGTTTTAAAAAATTAAAATATCTTTGTAAAGTGAACGTTTGTTTGCTCATGGGAATTTAAAAATGCTTCGTAAATTGTAATATGCGTAATATGCATTCGTGGGTTTAGTACTTTATGCCTGACATAACACGTTTACGCTGAGTATTACCATTCATTATAGCAGTTATGTCAATCTTTTATGCACTCGTGGGATTAACTTAGTGCTAGGGCATTGAATATCGAACAATACGTCAATTTCAATGATTTTTTTTTTTTTTTGAGACACCCTGTATTGTAGTAATTTGACAGCCGTATAATTACTCGAATTAATGAATGCGTGAAAACACAAGGTCTTCTGCACATGGGAATTTAAGATAACTTCTATTTGTATGAACAAATACACAACTCAAAGAAAAATGTTTAAATTAAGCATTATTCAAGTCTGCATAAGATATAAAATGGGCCAGCTTACTGCAGAGCAACGAATTGAAAGGGTGTAGATTTTTTTGATACACCCTGTATAAAGACAAAAAATTATTTTGAATATAGGCTTTTGTATAAAACTGAAAATAATACGAGGCTGGATCGCATGGGGAACGGCGAGAGCTTCCAAACAATGAAAATTCTGATGACCGAATCATACAAGGATTGTACCATTGTTATGGGTCATTTGCCTTTGTTCAGAATTGTTCTACCCCATGCAAAATAGGGTGATCTTGACGCTATAGGTTCTGTGATTGGCTGATTATAACAATGAAACACAATAAAACCAAAGAATAACTTTTCTAAATAGGGAGTCACAAACGAGCTTATGTGAACATGCCCATAACTGCTCATGAGCACATGCTCATCTGCTCATAAGGCCCGTTTAGGCTTCGCTGCAGAAAATTGATTAGTACACATATGTATGCATTTTCGCGCGGTTTTGCCATTTCATTGTGCATGTATCCGATCGACCCATGTAAAAATGACAAGAAAAGACAGGAAAAGTAATTTATTTAATGACTCGAAGTTTACATGCTGTGTCTTTATAATACTGGTATGTTTTTACATGTTCAAATCATCATCATTGTTCTCTTCAGCAAAATCGTAGTCCTTTAACAGCCGTTTTATAAGAAATTTCCTCTTATCAATAGCAGCTTCCATAGCTTACTCTGGATCAAGGTCATCGTTTTCCACAAGCGCATCCTTTGTCTGCCTAATTTTCTTATGTGCTGGATCTTTCTTTAGTTGTCTCATCTACACGAGACGCTCCATATAAATATTTTCCAGTTCCTTCTGGAGTTCAGGCAGAATATTAGAGTAAGGATTGTCCTTCGCGGATTGTTCATCTAGACCACTGTTTATAAGGCTTTCTTTCATTTCCTCAAAAGCTAAATTACTTCTTTGCTTTGCTTCTTCTATCAATGGTATCCAAGGGTCCATTTCTTCTTCAGTTTCATTATCAGTCGAAATCTCAGATCCATGAGTTGAAGTTGTGGAGACACCGTCTTGGAAATCCCTTTCCTGGCCATCCGAGTCTGTTTGAGACACGTTTCTTTCTTGTTCCGCGTAGTGGACTCGTGTCTTCGTAGATTGTAACTACGGTTAAATTGCTTTCCGCAAAATTGACAGCTCATTCCGTTAGTACTGACTGTGCAGAAATGCCTTATGCCTGCTCATGAGTTGTTCTGAACAGGTGCTCATTAGTCCCGTTACGTACTGGTGTTTACAAACAGAGAACCACTACAGAACCCTTACAGAACCCTCACAGAACCCCCACAGAACCCGTACAGAACCCGTACACAACCCCTACACATCCCCAGAGAATCGACCTCTCATCAACCTCACATCGACCTCTCATCGACCCTACATCGACCCTACATCGACCCTACATCGACCTCATACATCCACCTTACATCAGCTGCTTATAAAACCTTTAAAGGGTTACGATTTTGTTGAAGAGAAACAATGACGATGATTTGAACGACTTATATACAAAGACAAAGTATTAAATATAAACACACCTGGTTATTCAAAAGGTGCATTTTAAAGTAATTGAAAGTTAACTGGCCGAGTAAAGCCCGCCGCAGACGAGAGGATTTGACCTCTCGAGGCCTTGAGGAAAATATCTATCGTGTTTGATATTTTTCGCCTCGCGAGGAAAAAATCTCAGCGTCTGCGGGTGTTGTGAGCTAAGTGCTGAGCTGTTGAAATCAATTAGTCAATGACAAACCATGGTTACTTCATGTGATTTGGAACAAAATGGAGGAAAATGCAAATGATTTTCTGAATTATATATGTTGTTGTTGAGTAGTTTTCCCAACGTGTGCCGTGAAAATACATAGCTGAGCTAGCTACCTCGCGAGGCGGTTAGCTCAGCAAGTTGCTCTCGTGTGCGGCGGGCTTTAAGACGAAGTTAAACACATTAAAGAAAATGCTTTGTCGCGGGGGGTCGGGACATATAAACAGATTGTCAATTTAATTGTTCAATTATAAATTGTCAATTTCCGGCCGATAGTTTGTTGTATTTTATATATTTGTCAGCATTGTTCGCTGAGCGTCCAAACACTAGAATTTGATTTTCTTAACGCAACAGATTATATTTCATATCTTTCAAACCTTTGTATGCCCCAACGTGTGCCCGAAGGAAATCTTGATTCTTGAGGAAATCTCCAGAGGGGAAATCTCTGAATTTAAAATTTTTCATTTTTGTGTTGTTATTTTAAACGCATGCTAACTATCAATTAACCAATGAAATATCTTCATTTGTCATATATTATTCAAATAAAGCACTGTCCAATCAGAGGCCTTTCCACAAATCTTTGGAAAATCCACGTGACCAGAACAAGGAATCTTCATCCAACTCACATGCACAGATCGTTCTCTCACGCGCTTTGTCGAACGTCTGTTCACAGGCTAGATCTAACAAAATTACTTGTTACAGATTGTATGAAATTCCATGTTTTAGACAAAATACAAATGTTGTTGAATGTTATTAATCGTCTTCTTCCACTACATAACTTCTCGCGCGTTCCTAATTTCGTTCGTTTAAGCAATATTTAAAGTTATCTAACTTTTGTTTAGGGCTGAAAAACGTATTTCAATTGCTAAAAAAACCTCACACTTAATTGAACTCCGGATAAACGGGAGCCCCTATATTGTAATTGTAATTAAAAACTTCTATAGCGCATTTTCCATGACTAAATGATCAGCTATATTTCAAGCACAAACCGAAAACATTTTTGCGCGTTTTTTTTACGTTTGAAACGGGGCATTTACCGTTGGAAACTGAAATGTATTCACCGCTCATGTGATGTGTCACAGCTACGTAGGGCAAAGCCTTCAGTTATTTTTGGCGCAACTGTCATGTTTTGATGTGCCTTCGTGCATGTTTCAGTATTTTCAAGTCTTTCAAGCTCACGCTATTGTTAACATCGACCAAACTTGTTTACATTAACACTTTTTGTGACTAGAACGTATTATCATGGGCTTGGAAATATTGAAACGTGCACGAAGGCACATCACATCATGACAGTTGCGGCAAAAATAACTGAAGCCTTTGCACTGTAACACGTCACATGAGCAGTGAATATACATTTCCGTTTCCAATGGTAAACGCCTCGTTTCAAACGTAAAAAAACGCGCGAAAATGTTTGCTGTTTGTGCGTGAATGCAAATAGCTGTTGGTTGGTTTTATAAGTATTTTTCATGCCTTTGTTAGGTTGTTGCCGTATAGTCTTGCAAACTAAGTATTTGTGATCGAGATTAACAATATAATGTCACGCTATATTACCTTCGAAACTCAATGTAGTTCGAGACACAAATCGTATTTAACAATTATAGTGAACGTGTACAAATTACTGATATACAAATGTATGGCTTGCCCCCAATACGTCATGTAAAGTGCAGTGGAAACGCCTCCATATGGATTGTGATCTCCACTCATCCTCGTACCCAGGGTCTTTACTTAATTTCGTCCATCCGGACTGCTGCAGGTTTTTGTGTTTGGATTGTGTTCCTTATGTTGAAATCATTCTTTATCGTTTTGGAAAAATCTTGCATGGAATGCATGCACACAAAATCTCTATATGCGCATAATAAAAAATTAGCCAATTTATACCAAAAAGTTCTCCCCAATTGAGCAACAGTTATTAGACATGATATGCACAGACGGATATAGATAAAAGACAGAATAAAGTCAGAAACTTTAAATTTCCTAGTTTAACAACCAAAATTTAAATCCATGCTATTTTTTAAGTTAAAATGTTCTTAATCCTTACAATCCAGTTGCAATCCCAAACCTAATACCTTACTTTCATGCACGTCGTTTCGACATAAGGAAACTTAGCATTGAAAAGTTACCGGTTTCGTGGTACCTTTTATCGTTACATTGCCGAGAAGTTCATCATCAAACATTGACTTCCATCCCATGTACCTAGTAGAACGATTTAAATCACGTTCAATTAATTATCAATTAGAAATTCCATTTTATTTTAAGAGAGTATACACTCTAACAACACCCTATGGTTAAAATTTTCCAAGCTAATTTAGAAATAATCCTATTTGCATGGGTTAAAATATTCCTGGTTAAATTTCTCTTTTTCCTACTATATAGTCTAGTTAAATTGACCAGAACCTCCTGCACTATATGTTAGGTGGATAAGGGCTATGTTAGATGTTCAGTAGGGGCCTCTGGTTATATAGGTAATATAGGATGGTTTCGAGTGCAATTTACGTATACATAAAAATGTTCGACACAAGTTTTAATTTACGTTTATATACAAAGTTTTCCTGCTTTGGTAAAAAGCCATATTTTCCACCCGAAGTCAACTTTTACTTTATGTAGCGCGGCGCCATGTTTGTTTTGTTTTGAAGCAATCATGTGACCGTTACTTGAGGACTGCTTTAAACTGATTGGTTGATTTTATCATCACAGTGTTTTTCCACCAATCAGATCAGTTTGTTACAGATTTTTGCACTATGATAACAGAAAATTACACTGTGATTACAAAAATTGCACTGTGATTACAAATTTTGCACTGCTGTTTGAGATTAACTGCACTGAAATCAACCCATCACAGTCGAGTAATATTATTATTATCCACCTAACATAGTCATAGGACACATGCATAGTAACAAGGACATCCAGGTGAAATACAACCAGATTTCTTGTTTACATTAACCAGACCATGGTAGGAAGTGAGATAAAATAACCAGGAAATTTAATCAGAACTATTATTAAGTTAACCCAAATAATGGTATTTCTAGGTTAACCAGGAGATTTTAACCAGAGATATATCGCGGGTGGTCCAAAAAAGTACTCCTCTTTGATTCAGTATAACTTCAAAATAAAAAGCGCTCTTACCTTTAAACACGAGGCATTGTTTTCAGTAAAGTCCAGCTTAAATTTTGGTATATACCATGTGCATTTTAATACAGTATTGACTGAAGCCTGGTTTCCATTAAATCGTAATTATCGCAAGAACCGCATCGCAAGCGTCGCAACGATTTTAAAAACGTGAAAATTTTAATAAAAACTGCGATTTATTGAAAACCTGAGTCACACCACAGGCGGCCCAATCTCGCAAGGGTCAGTATAGACTTATAGTATAAATGTATATTATGTACTGTTTAATAAACGAGCAGTAGTGTTTTATTAGGTTTAAAGACACGAGCGCGCAGCGCGAGTGGCTTTAGACCTAATAAAACACGACCTGCGAGTTTATTAAACGGCTTCAAACACGACTATACAAATTCAATAGATATACCGCCTTATTAGTATTCTTCATATAAAAAATACTAATGAGGACACGACAACAATAGATACTGCCATATTAGTATTCTTTATATAAAGAATACTAATTAGGAGTGTTTTATCAGGTTTAAAGCCACTGCACGTGACATATTATAGTTGACATGATTTGCCAATAAGCTTATGAATTATTAATGAGGGTTTGAAATTAATGTATATTATAGCAAAAATATGTCGTAAAATATAAATTTTAAAATGAAATTGACTTGCCTATTTGATAGTGTGTGTTCTCCTTTTATTCCTCCTTTGTTGGACTAATATTTTCCGAGACTTTGTACTCGATGTTACTAGTATACATGAAACATGATAAAGGCTAACGATTCCCGATCGTCGATACGACGGCACGGCACTTCGAATCGAAAATTCTCACACTCAAATCGCTTTATTCTCAAAAAAAATTCGCCAGCATGTACAACAAATGCCGTTCTTCGAAAATACAGAGGTATTTCGGCGAGATGTACAAGTTTTGGACCATATTTTAACAATGGAAATCAAAACCCATTTTATATTGAACTTACCCGGACCGAAAATTACTACGGCGAACGTCTGCGCAACCAGGCCTCCTTTACCGTTGGATTTACAGGGGGGGAAGCAGATATTTCCGGTAACAGCCAGCCAATCGCGGCCGCGTAGCGACTGTTTACATTATTTGAAATTTGATATTCAAAATGAAAACTCCTTCGATCGGATACTGTATAAAACTCGAGATGTTGTCGAAGAAAAGAAAATTAAACGACGGAGATTGAAGAAATTTAAGGAAGAAGTAATATACAGCGGCTCTTTGTTGGAAAGCATGGTAGAATATGATACTTTAATTCGAAATATTATCGTGAATATATTAGTGGCATCCTCCCCCCTGTAAATCCAACGGTAAAGGAGGCCTGGTTGCGCAGACGTTCGCCGTAGTAATTTTCGGTCCGGGTAAGTTCAATATAAAATGGGTTTTGATTTCCATTGTTAAAATATGGTTCCAAAACTTGTACATCTCGCCGAAGTACCTCCGTCTTTTCGAAGAACGGCATCTGTTCTAAAAACTTGTACATCTTGCCGAAATACCTCTGTATTTTCGAAGAACGGCATTTGTTGTACATGCTGGCGAATTTTTTTTGAGAATAAAGCGATTTGAGTGTGAGAATTTTCGATTCGAAGTGCCGTGCCGTCGTATCGACGATCGGGAATCGTTAGCCTTTATCATGTTTCATGTATACTAGTAACATCGAGTACAAAGTCTCGGAAAATATTAGTCCAACAAAGGAGGAATAAAAGGAGAACACACACTATCAAATAGGCAAGTCAATTTCATTTTAAAATTTATATTTTACGACATATTTTTACTACAATATACATTAATATAATATACATTCATACTATAAGTCTATACTGACCCTTGCGAGATTGGGCAAAGTCGCAAAGATAGAATTACTGCGATTTTTGCGATAGCGATGTCTGCGTTCCGCGACTATTGCGATGATTACGATTTAATGGAAACCAGGCTTGAGATAACTGTATTTAAATTTTAGTTAACGTTTCTGGAAATGTCGAAAATTAGCGAAGAACGGCCTATTAAATGTTAATACAATAACCTGTGCGTAGGTATAATAACACTGCAGTCGAAAAGTATTCGTTTGTTTTCCAAATAAAAATGCTATTCATTAGGAAATGCATGTCGCCCAACAAGAAGTGCAATTTCTTGCCCGTGTGAGCATGCAGTCGAAAGAATTTCGGATCACCTGGGGATCCAGGTTGCGGACTACGGTATGCTGTTACAATTGCCTCTCAAAGCTCTCTAAAAATATTTGGTTGTTGATCAAGTGGCACATTCCAAATTCGATGCTTCACGTAGCCCCAAAGAAAAAATCGCAGGAGGAGGCCGAGGCCAATCACCCCGTTTACACATCAGTCGACGTCGGCCAGGAAATTGCCCCCGAAGATATCGAATAGTTGCGTTATACTGGTTGTCAAATCAGTCAAAATTAGTTTAATAGGCTGTTTTTTGCTAATTTTCGAAAATTTTGAAAATGTTTATATTACTTTCAAACTCAAATATCTCGGCCAAAACTATGTTAAAATACACATGCATGGCATATACCAAAATTTAAGTTAGACATTACTGAACTAAATGCGTTTTGTTTAAGTGTAGGAGCTCTTTTACTTTTTAAGTTTTTCTGAATCAAAGAGGACTACTTTTTTTTGGGCCACTCGGTACATGCATTTTTCCATCCGCAAACTTACCATTTAGTGATTTCATCGTAGTTAGGTTGATTATATAACCAATTTCGTAAAACCTGAAAGCAATACACAAAATTTTAGAAATATCACTAGACCTTCTTTCCTATACAATTCACGGCAAAAGTTAATTAAAAAGTTTAAATTTGAAATAAATTTGAAATTTTCTCAGAAAAATAGGTAAATTTGATTAATTTTGCTCAATATTTTGACTCACTGTGGGTGCACTATTTTACTCAAATAGTTGCAGTGTAACAGACTCGTATCACCTACAGCATGCTCTAGATACATACATACATATACATACAAAAATTTATTTAAGCACGCTGGCCTCAACAACTCGGAGCTGATTTCCACGAGGGGCGTGATTTGGAGAAATATACAGTACAGGTAAACATTAAAAATACAAAAACAAAGAAAGAAGAATTACATATACAGTAGGCAACAGGACGAGCCAATTTTAAGTGTTTGCCTGATTAATAGTTCTTTGAAAAGAACTTAAAGATTCCGCTACTTTTACCTCATACGGTAAATTATTCCATACTACCGCTCCGTTATATTTGAAGCATCTTTTACCAGAATCGGTATTCGGTTTAGGAAGAGACAAATCGGTTTCTCTATTTCTAAGATCATAGGTATTATCACATTCATTATTCAATCGAAAGGATGTTCTTAGATTTGGTGCGGTGTGGTTATTCAGAATTTTATACATAAAAACAGGTTTTAGATAAGTTCGCCTTAGTTCTAGGTGTTTCCAACCCAGGCTTTCAAGTAAATCAACCGACCGAACATCGTAAGTCGCACCAGAAATTACTCTTGCAGCCCGATTTTGAAATTTCTGCAACCTGTCCTTGAGGCCGATTCCACAGTTGTCCCAGAGAGGGCTGCAGTAATCAAAGTAGGGCTGCACAATAGCATTGTACATCAATTTTAGTGTCGCAGACGATACGAAGGGCCTAATACGTCTTATAGCACCGATTTCCGCACTGACTTTTGAACATATCCTATCAATACGTTTTTCCCAGGTCAATTTTTCGTCAATGTTGATACCAAGGCAAGTATAATTTTCAGTCCTGGGTATTGGAACGTTATTAACAAGAATTGGGTTACCAGATACGCTGATCCAATAAACATATATTTCGATTTTGTCGGATGAATTTGGAGCTTATTTTGTAGCATCCATTTTCGAATATTTTCAAGATCAAGGTGTATTTTAATAACAATGTCATCACAATCTTTAGAGGATAGATAAATTTCTGTGTCATCTGCGTAAAGGGATGGAGTTGAATATTTTAAGGAGTCAGGCATATCGTTTATGTATAATAGGAATAATAAAGGGCCCAAGATAGATCCCTGCGGTACACCACATTTTATCTTTCTCGGGCTCGATAAATGACCGTTTACCAGACATTGCTGCTCTCTATCAGATAGATAAGACTTGAACCAATTTAGTGGAATTCCTGATATACCAAAGTAGTTAAGCATCTTTTTTAATAGTATTTCATGGTTTATACAATCAAAGGCCTTACGTACATCAAGGAACACGACACAATTTATTTTGCCATTATCCATATTCTCAAGTAGATCGTCACACATTTGTATCAAAGACGACAGTGTGGAGTGTTTAGGTCGAAATCCCGATTGAAACTTGGAGAGTAAGAAATTATCAGAAACAAAGCTATAAATTTGTCTAAAAACCTCTCTTTCAAAAACCTTACTTACGATTGACAGTATAGAAATCGGCCTATAATTTTCACATTTTAGTCTGTCGTCTGATTTATAAATTGGATTCACTCGAGCCCTAGATACGAGATCGGACGATTTCCGAACAAAGTCGTTGGTTTCATCAGATTTTATCTGTTCCCAATGGATTCTGTCCAGTTAGCTGTGCTCGAATTCGTCTGGTTTCATGTGCGTCTATTGTGAACTCGAGAGGCGAAATCGTCAATTTTGAGTACAAACACAAATTCATCCGGTCTTGTATATAAAGGCAGTCTAAGTTCCCTTCACGTATTCGCTAGCAAGCCCCATTACAAGTATATTGCTCACTTCATGTCATCGCCGCGTTTGATGTATTAATTTGACACAGGATATTCTTGTTGCAATTCTAATAATATCCAACAAGGCAAAAATCTCTTTTTCTTTTGAACCTCGTTAGATTGGTTGCAACCCCCTTATTACATCCAAAATGCCAACCCCCGCCCTTTATACGCGCCTGACACGAGTAAGCCACCCATGAGGCATGATTACTAGAGGATTTACAGTGTACAATTAGACTTTCCAAACTAATAATAATACAAAGATACTTTCTTTCAATCTGAAGGGAAACATAGAAGGGAAAGGTTAGTTTGCTGACCTCAGAATGGTATTTCGTCAAAACTTGTTTCTTCAAGATTGGCTTAGAACAAACTTGCAGTAGGGTTAGGTTAGGGTCAGGATTAGAGTTGCTGTTTGGAATAGGGTTAGTGTTAGTAAAACCGTTGCTTTGTTACATTTTGCCACTCTGAGGTCAGCGAAATAACCTCTTCCACACAGAAAGTCCTTTACCATATTCATCTGGCATGGCGTCGGGGAAATAACTTGCACAAATAATATCAGTACCATTCTTCAAAATATACACACCAACTTTATGATTTCACAAAGTTAGAAACAGTTCCTACCTGCATCCATTTAGGAAAGAAATGTTTCTCTAGAAGACTGACAAAATGTTGAAAAGGAATTATATTCTTCCAAGCCATTACCCAGGTAAACGGTTCTATAAATGAAGATTTACAGAAGAAATTGTGAGTTTGGAAAGCTATTTATTAAAAAAATTAGGGTACATTTCCTAGCTGGCAAGGTTGGGTTTCGAGCACAATATGACGAAATCAAGCATGCATACGGTGGTGTATAGTCGACAGGGCAAGTGAGTGCTTTAATCTCACTGTGGAGTGCGGACCAGCTCATTTGTACATATAGAACGAGTCTGCATGTCAATGCCCGGGTATTGTCCATAGCATAATAAACAACTGTTGCTTGCAATCAGTCAGTAAAATACTCTGCAATGTAAATCAAACTGTAAATCATTATCGTGAGTAAATGGGTTATACTGTATATAGACTACATAACAATATTATTTAGAATTTCGTTTAAAATCAGAAATTAACAAACAAACAAACAAACAAACAAACAAACAAACAAACAAACAAACAAACAAACAAACAAACAAACAAACAAACAAACAAACAAACAAACAAACAAACAAACAAAAAGAGTACAAAGGTACATGTAAATATTTAACATGCTTACCAAGATGTTGTTGATGAGGATTGATCACAAATTCTGACAAACATTGCGATAATTTTGGATATATTGAACGAAGTACAAATGCATCTAAAGTTCCCTTGGAAAATACCTGATAATACAACGAAACGCACAAGACGTTACAATGTATCATGAGGCAACTTATACACTACTTCAAGTATAAGAATTACCCTGGTTTACTAAAGATAAATACAAGACCATCTTCAGATGCAAGATGGAATACTGCGCAACAATATGGGATCCAAGGAAGAGTGGTGAGAGCAACGGCTGCCACAGGGTTGAGATGTTGCTATAGCCTGCGTATAGCAGGCGCCTATTAATTTGCTTGCAGGCAGCGAGGGCAGCACGCAGGTTGATGTCATGGTACCAGTCTCTAGAAAGCAGCTATATGTTTGAAGCACCCGGTTTGGTAATAATAAAAGGTCACTAGTCTCAGTAGATCTCAGTAGTATTCCAAGATTTTTGCTAGCATAAAGCCTATTAAGCCCGTTTTTCACTTGGTAAATTTGTTCGCGCGAAGCGACTTTTTTCTTTGTCGGTGTCGCTTTTGCTGATGTGATAAGCGATGCCGACAAAGGAAAACGTCGCTTCGCGCGAATAAATTCGCCGAGTGGAAAACGGGCTTTAGGCAAGCGTTTGCGTGTTTTTCCACTGCGAGTGTAGAAAAAACCCCAGCACTTAGAGTATAGTATAGGCCGGTTTGATTTACCTTAATCCAAGGCTCGAGGATTAGCTTAGCAGAAGGATCTGAAGGATGCCAGTTTGTTAAAGCCACAGATAGCTTTTGACGTATTGGAATATACAGTGTTTCAAGTCGTTTACCTAGGTGTTATTAAAACATGAAAGTTTAAGTACCTTTCTCAATTTTAATGTCAAAACATGTTTCTTTCAGTGAATATGAAAGCATGTTCTTTCCTTCCATGAAGAAAGGCCTGCCAAGAGATTTCGCTGGGTGTGTGGGATAAATTCCCATGTCTATGACGTCATGATTTTAAAATAGAAAAACAGTGATATATTTGGTAGCAAGCTTGTACAGAGACCTTGAACTTGAAAATGGCAACCTGACCGAGGACTTCCACTTGCCAAGGGTCCCGCTCAATTTTTAACTTTCTCTCAAACTGGGTGGCCCTCATTCTCGTCCCGTAGAGATATTTTCACTCGGTCACTCGTACGTTGAAAATCAGGCTCTGGGTTAGGCGACTAAATGGAGAGATCTGATTGGCTTCTCAGATAACTGCTATTTCACTGAGCAGAGAAGTTGAGCAATTTTCGCTAGGCAAAATTATTCTATCAACATATATCAAAACAAATACTTCGTTTCTGCGCTTTAGAAACAACTGCAAGTTTTCTTGCACTTCCGGTTCCGTGTGTCCCAGGGCTTAGGGAGGACGCGCGCGGCCCTGGGAACGTAGCCTGCGAACAGGCTCTCAAGCTGAATTGAGAGCCTGCATCGATGACTAATGAATTTGAATATCTGCGTCTCAAATCGTGACGCGAAATTCTCATTGGTCAGATGCTATAATTTATATGTTTCCGCTGAGCTCTATATATGTCAACTGCTGAAGCACTATGCATAAAAAACACATTAACTGATCAAATTGGTCTTGACCATCTTATCTCAAAGCACGAAATGTTCTGTTTTGAGAAAACAGTATTTAAAACATTTGAACTTTTGCTTCAATATCTTATATTTCGAAAAACAGTATAAACTGTACGGTCTAAATTTAGTTTGCACGGTCTAAATTTAGTTTGCACGAAAGTTGTCAACAACACCATATAAGGATATACATTCCATATTTGGAAAAACGAACGTTACGGGGCAGATATTCAAATTCATTAGTCATCGATGCAGGCTCTCAATTCAGCTTGAGAGCCTGTTCGCAGGCTACTGGGAACGAGGATGGGGTGGCCCTAGAGATTGACAACCTGGGGAAAATTCCCTCCTGCATGTCCCCGCATCTCGGTGGCCATGAATTTTTAGGAAGAATGAATTTCTGTCACATTTAATGTTGAACAATCTTACCCATTAATGGTAACCAAGGATGGATCCATGAATGTATAGGAACAGGATCAGACCTCCACTTCAGCCTATTTATTTAATTAAATGAATATTACAGAAAGACAGAAATTTTAAAAATCTAACGGCATAAAGCAGCAAATACTGTCAACGCTACACTCTAAAAACACCATGGTTAAAACATTTCCTGGTTAATCTAAGATTAACACTATTTGGGGTAACTTGGTTAAATTTCCTGCCAATTCCTGGTTAATTTAACCGCAGTCCTGGTTAATTTGATCATAGTCCTGGCTAATTTAACCAGCTATACGACTCCAGACAAGATTATGTTAGGTGGATTATTAACCAGGAATTCTTGGTTAATAGTCCACCTGACATAATCTGGTTAATTAAACCATATAGCAAGACCGTCGGAAGCACATGACGCGCGAAAGCGGACAAAATTACTTTTCCGAAATATATATGACGTCAATATCAAATATAAAACAACAATACATATATAGGATAGGAATTGCCGTATATTTATGTGTGCTAATTCTTTAATATAAAACATGTTCTTAAATATATATATCATCGTTTTTAAATATAAACAATGTTGCCGATTATTTAACGTCTTCTCTCATATATATAAACAGTATTGGAATATATAAATCACATCACATATATAAACAATGTTCCCATATATAAATCACCTCGCATGCCAAATATATAAAGGGTGGTTACAAAGCGTTCGCTTTAACCGAATTATATGAAGTACTGCTTAAACCAATAAGCAACGTCTTGTATAAAGTGCAGGCGTCTTTTCACTCGACGTTGAGTTTAAGTGGTCATGGCTGACAAACATATGCAAATTTTGGCTAAATTTGGATAAAAGCAGTTACCAGTGTTGCTGATCGTGGCATATCACAGGAATCGAATAGCGAGGGAAATAGTTCGGTTAGTGTTGAAGAAACAATAAAGCGGTTGTTTCCATCAACAGAGGGTGGTCAGGGTGCAAACGCAAAAAAATACAGTGCTATATAGAAGAGCGCGCCGTGGAACAAGAAAGGAATATAATGAAAATCTTATTTAGTTCGAAAATATTACAAATATTTTTCCCATAGCCATCCATCTCAATAATATTTTGTGGCGTTTGCACCTTGACAGCCCTCTGTTGATGGAAACAACCGCTTTATTGTTTCTTCAACACTAACCGAACTAACTTCCCTCGCTATTCGATTTCTGTGATGTGCCACGATCAGCAACATTGCATGGTATTACTGCTTTTACTAAATTTGCCAAAATGCGCATATGCCTGTCAGCCATGACCACTCAAACTCAACGTCGAGTGAAAAGACGTTGTTTATTGGTTTAAGCAGTACTTCATATAATTCGGTTAAAGCGAACGCTTTGTAACCACCCTTTATATATTTGGCATGCGAGGTGATTTATATATGGGAACATTGTTTATATATGTGATGTGATTTATATATTCCAATACTGTTTATATATATATATATATATATATATATATATATATATATATATATATATATATGAGAGAAGACGTTAAATAATCGGCAACATTGTTTATATTTAAAAACGATGATATACATATTTAAGAACATGTTTTATATTAAAGAATTATTATATATACATACACGGCAATTCCTACTATATTTGTATTGTTGTTTTATATTTGATATTGAGGTCATATATATTTCGGAAAAGTAATTTTGTCCGCTTTCGCGCGTCATAGAAGCGGGCTCAAGCCCCATTTGTATGAGCAAAACACACAAAAAAAACTAGAAAAGTACGAAAGTAATTCAGATTTATTCTTTAAAGCCACCCCCCTCCCCCCTTCCAATATTGATTTACTTCCGTCGACCTTCCCTTCCAATATTGATTTACTTCCGTCGACCTTGATATAGTCTGGTTGATTAAACCATATAGTCTGGTTGATTAAACCATATAGTCTGGTTGATTAACCAGGAATTCTGGTTAAATTGTAGATAGTCTGGTTGATTAACCAGGAATTCTGGTTAAATTGTAGGCCTATAGAAATAGTAATTTATGGTGGATACCAATGGAGTATATGTCACTCGCTGAATATCAAACCTTAGTCTGAACATGACTGCGCTATTTCGAAGCCCTGTTGAGACACTTGTTTTATGTTTTATGTCTACATTTAACGGAATGTCCAATCGATACGACAAGCTTTATATACATTATATAGATATTACTTATAGTCTCACCTGCAAACGGGGCAGTAGTATTTGATCAAGAATATTGTCATATATCCATGATGGAAGGAGAGGTAGCCAATTTTCAAGGAGTTCAACCAGACCATCCAAAATTTGAGGATTCCATACACTTTGGGAAAACAAAATAAAAGATGATTAACCAATGCAACAATTGGGACCAGGCTCTAGCTGTCTTGTTAACTCCATTTAACTACCGCCCTTGCAAAGCTGGCCTGTAAGAACGAAGATCTGTCTTGTATAATTTATTTATTATTTAGAATTTAAGTTTTTTGATATGTATTACATCCCTCTGAAAACTACTTATTGTAAATTAAGTTGGCACTCTCATTAAAAAAATAATTGCATAGAATATTCTATATTCTATTTATTGTGTACTTATAAGATTTACCCTAGGATGCTCCTAAAACAGTATTATAATAATAATTATTATTATTACGCATTACTAATACAATCTCTGTTTTGATTGGTTGCTGGCCTACGAATTACGCATAAGAATGACGTCAGAATTACACGACATCACGAATGCGTGATGTCGTGTAATTCTGACGTCATTCTTATGCGTAATAATTCCTTAGTCATTCTTATGCGTAATAACATAATTATTGGACTCGATTTTCGCGTGATATAGAAAATTATCAAGGCCTCGGTTTGTGTTATTCGCCTCAGCCTTCGGCTTCGGCAGATAATACAAACCTCGCGGCCTTGATTATTCTCGATATCACGCTCAACCTCATCCAATAATTATTTATTATTAGTTCTAAAACTCATTAATAATGAACACGGTATAATTGTCTTGATACGAACGAAAATAATAAATTCTTTATCGCGTATGATTACAAAATATTACCTTGCACATCTTCTAAAAACTGGCATCCAAACTTCCCATATCAACCTTTCGTATGTATCCATGCTAAGTTTGAAAAAGCGATACTTATAGTAATAGATCAAGGTAGTTACAGCTCAGATTTTAATTTAAATCACTTGAAACTTCTTTGTTGCCTATATATAGTATCTTGCAAAAATCTTCAGATATACCATACATTCCTGTCAAACCCTGCTCAGAAACGCAAAATGTATTTAAATACGTTTGAAGCGAAACCAGTGTTAGTCATAATAAGTTTGTACATGTTCTCTGTTTTTAACTATTTATTTACTACTGTACGTGCTTTCGACTACCAGTCTACACTCTTCATGCAGTCTTCGAAAGCTCGTACTAAATAAATATTAAAAACCAGAGAACGTCTACAAATTTATTGCAAAATGTATTAATATTATCAAATGTAACTAAGAATGCGAGGTAAAATGCAATGTGACGTAAAAAGTTCTATTACATGCAAATAAAACCAATATCTGTATTTATTCTCCTGATATTGAGATAGAAAATCTGTAAAGGATATATTTAGCTGCATTTTGAAAAATTCTTTCCAATAAAAGAGTATAGAATAACATCATTTTCGTGCATGCCTCATCAGACCACAATATTTTTCTAACCTGTTTGGATCTAAAGAAGGCCCAGTAGATAAAGTAAAGGAGTTTGATTTGTCTCCCTCAAGTAATTTCTTCCATCTTTTTACAACTTCCAAACCATAACTTGGATTCTGAAGTGGATTCCACATTTCTAGATGTTCTTTGATCTAAAATATGCACCGACATTTTTTTGTCATCAAAGCCTTATCCAGCGAATTGACGTATTGGTATACAGTGTATATAGCTGCATAATTATACAAAATCTCTACAGAGAGCTTGTATACTGAATGTGTGCTGCATTACATTGCATGGAAATTTGGGGAGGATTTACTGATTTCAACACCCCACAAATACATCCTAAATATATATAATTTTGTAGCCTTGTATTTTAAAAATTCTAAAAAAAATGTCTACTTGTCACCTTTGGGAATACTAGCGGAACAGCCATTGTCACTGTATAATATTTTCGACTAATCTGCTCTGTTAAATATCAAATTTATTATATTTACGCTATTGTTTACACCAAATCCCCATATTCTCGTCGCTCTTGTTTTTATATTAAATGTCAATCACGCTATAATTGTCTTTAGTGTCATTACTATAAATATAAATGTCAAATAGTTAATTTCCGGTTATATTAAAGTTTATAGTTTATCTACACTGAGTACACTCCCCCTTGACCATTGCGTCAGCGTTGGTCAAAAAGTCTGCGAACAGTATCTGCTTTGATAGCTGCCTTTCGTCTAGCTGGTTTCGATGATTCAACTGTTTCGTTCTTTTCTTCAGATAATTTCTTCTGCTCGCTAACTGTGTTACTATTCACTTCCAATGGACAAAGTCTTTGAACTGGTCTTCGTAGGATCGTATGGGATCCCTTCTTTGTAACTGTTCTCAATACAGCTCCTCTTGTCTCTCCATCTCTACCTTTCATCAATTCCTTAACTTCTGCAAGTTTCCATTTCGATCTCGGTAGTCCATCATCCTTTATCAATACAACATCTCCTACTTGAATTCTTCTCCTTGATTTGGTGGATTTGCTGTTGTGAAATTCTCTCAAGTCTACTAAGTATTCTCTAGACCATCGTTTCCAAAAATGTTCCAGTAATTTGCTTAGATAACGTGCTCTACGTTTGAACGTTGCTTCCGAACTTTCGTCATCACTAAGCTGACCTTCACTTGGTAATGTGGCAAGTCGTCTCCCGATGGTCAGGTGTGAAGGGGTTAATGGTTCCTCAGTTAGATCTGGATAAACATAAGTAATAGGTCGCGAATTCAGAACTCCTTCGATTTCAGTCAGTACTGTCATGAATTCCTCGTAACTCAATTGAGCTCGTCCCAGAACTTTGCGTAAACTTAGCTTAACAAGTTTAACCATTCGCTCGTAGTAGCCACCCCACCACGGCGCCTTTTCTAGAATAAACTTCCATGTGATACCCATATTCTCTGCAAATTGTTGTAGATTTTGTCCCTCAAATATCTTGATTATTTCCTTGTTTGCTCGTTTGAAAGTTTTTGCATTGTCCGATGTTATCGTGGCCGGCGTACCTCGTCTTGCAGTGAATCTCCTTAAACATCGGATGAAAGCTTCGGTAGAGAGGTCAGGCGTCAACTCTAAGTGAAGTGCTCTAGACGTCGCACACGTATACAAACAGATGTAAGCTTTCTTCATCTCCTTTTCGTGACCATTCATTTCCTTTACATAAACCGGACCAGCGAAATCTACGCCGACGTGGGTAAATGCAGTTGTTTCTGTAACTCTCGTTTCGGGTAGATGAGCTGGTTGAGGTGGTTGGAAAGTCACACCTTGGATTTTCTTGCACGTTACGCATTGTTGTAGAATCTTTCGCACGAATTGTCTTCCTTTCGGGATCCAATAAACACTCCTAACCTCTGCTAGCGTTTCTCTTGTACCACCGTGATGAATCTTCTCGTGACACGATTTAACAACAAGAGTGGAAAGATGGTGGTTTCGTGGTAGTAACACTGGATGTCTAGTTTCGTCTGGCAGTGATGCATGATCCAATCTCCCTTTGCACCTCAGGATGTGTTCTATATCTCCGTACACTCCGAGTTGTTGTTGCAAGGTCTCGTAGTTTGGCTGCTGTTCAAGTTCTATTTGACAATTACGAATCCAAGTGTTCCTAGCTTCTGTAATCTCTGCTGTAGTTAAAACAATGTTTTCTGAACATTGATAATCATTGTGTTTTTCCTTCAGGATCTTAACAAATCTGAACACTAAAGCTGTAACTCTGAGCAATTTTGCAAGACAACTAAACCGGGTAATGTCAATAATCCTTGACAGGTTAGTGTTCTTGACAGACGTGGTTTCTTTAACAAGGTTGGTAGCTGTAGTGGTCGATATTGCCTTAACTCGTAGTTCCTTGAGGCATTCTTCTGACTGATCTTCGGTTTCCTCTATTTTCTCTGACATTGGGTAACTCTGTGGAGACTGCTTTAGCCAGGTAGGGCCGTTCCACCACAAGTCATTGCTTACAAGTTCTGATGGTAGACATCCTCTGGAACCAATGTCTGCAGGATTGGTCTTTCCGGCACAATGTCGCCAGTTTTCTGCATTTGTCAGTTTCAGGATTTCATCGATTCTGTTCTGAACAAATTGCTTGAATTCTCTATTCGATTGGATCCAATAGTAGACCGTGATGCTGTCTGTCCAACAGAAAATCTTTTCGATGTCAATGACTCCGCTGAGTGCTTCCTTGACTGTGGAAATCAGACGTGCAAGAATGAGTGCAGCGATCAGTTCAAGTCTCGGTATCGTTATAGGTGTCAAGGGTGCTACTCTGCTCTTCGAAGCCACAAGACTTGTCATGTAGCCATCCTCGGTTTCTACGCACAGATAAACGACCGCGCAGTAAGCTCCCTTTGACGCGTCGCCAAATCCATGAAGAGTGACTGATTCTATTCTCTTAGTCGCAGTTGGAAAGTAATAACGCTGAATTACAATTTGGTCAACTTTCTCTGCATCATCGAGCCATATCCGAAGAATTTTGGCACTTGATTGGGAAATAATACTGTCCCAGTCATATTTCTTGGCACATAAATCTTGCAGCAGCATACGAAGTTGCACTGTCGCTGGCGAGATCAAGCCCAAAGGATCAAACAATTTGGCGGCAACTTTCAAGACGTTCCGTTTTGTTGGTTCAAGACCTTTTCCAAGGTTAGAGATCTTGTTCAGTTTCAGAATAAATGTATCGTTTTTAAGGTTCCAGTTAAGTCCCAAAACTTTATGCTCCGTAGTAGGGTCAATTTCTTCCAGACCACCAACCGTGGTTTTGGCATAAGATTCGTCGTCCTTTGTGGCGATATCAGCTTTATTTACTCCTTCTCTTTGTTCTCTCTCTTGGGTAATCTTGTCGATGACTGCTTTGTTGTTCGATGCCCATTTTCGCAACTTGAAACCCCCTGAAGCAAAACACTCGTTAGTTTCACGATACAGTTCATACGCTCGATCTTCATCTTCTTCGCCTGATGTCCAGTCGTCCACGTACAAAGCATCTAACAGGGCCTTTGCCAAAGCTAGATCTTTACGGTAATATTCCGAAACGTGATGATGTAGCGTAGCATTTAATAGAAATGGGGAGCAGTTCATTCCAAAAATAACTCTCGCAAATCGATAAACTTCGACATTTGGGTCTTCGCTGTTGATGTCGTCCAGCCACAGAAATCGCATCAAATCTCTTTGTTTCTCGTCAATAGCTATGTTCAAAAAAGCCTTTACGATGTCGGCAACTAGTCCTCCTTTGTTTCGTCTGAAGCGTAGTAGTATGTCAAATATTCCTGGTGTTAATGACGGGCCAGTATAAATGCATCGTTCAAGGAAGGATAATTCTTGCAGACCTTCGCACTGGCGTCAAATACAACTCTTGTCTTTGTGGTTAATGCATCTTTTCTGATGACCGCTTGATGCGGTAAGTAGTGTGTCTGTCCGACTTGATGCTCTTGCGATTCTTGAACTCTTTCAACTATTCCCTGGCGAAGCTGTTCTTCGATAATTCCGTTGTACTCTTGAAGGATTGGTTGGTCTTTACGCAGACGTTTAACCAAAGTGTTCAATCTCGCTAAGCTCAGGTCATAGTTGTCTGGTAAAAGTTCGTGTTGTTCCTTTAATGGTAAGATAACAGAATATCTTCCATCTTCAAAGGTGACGTTCTTCAAAAACGATTCGTGGACTGTTTCTTTATCTCGTATACCAATGGACTCGATATCCCATAACTTGTGAAGTAATTCTTCAGCTGTGGGTTTCTCTTGGCAATTTCCGGCAATCTTTAGCACGTGTGCTGAAACAAAATTTACGTTAGACAGTTTCTGTTTCTTCGTAGTTGAAATTGGACCCGATAGTACCCATCCAAGACTTGTTTTGCTCGCCACTGGACCAATCTCTTGCTCTCCCCTCGCGATTTCTCCCGTGAAAAAGGACCACATATAATCCGCTCCGATCAGCAACTGAATTTCCATCTCTTCGTTACCATGGTTACTATCAGCTAAGTCGATTTTCTTCAGATGAGCATAACAACGTTTGGCTCGGTCGATTTCTTGATTAGAAATTGGCGCACAAATATCAAGCACAACATAGGCTTCCATTTTGGTCGAGAAACGTCCTCCAATATCTCCGACTGTGAATTGAACTTTGTCACAGGTTTCCTTGCGGTTGATCTCATCATTTCCGAACGTTTTTATGACCAAAGACTCCTTGGCGATTGTTGGTAATTTCAGTTGATCTCGCACACTTCTTTTAATAAAACTCTTCTGACTTCCTGAATCAAATATAACTCTAACACGAACCCCGGAATTTGACTCTCTTAATCCAACGAAAGCTTGTGCAGTTTGAAGTAGAATGGAGTTCTTTGAGCTAACGTAAA